TACCAGAATCTCCAATACGAATATTTCAGAGTGTCAGGTGTTGATCTGAGGACTGTGCAGAGGATTTGGAAAGAGTGATTACAAAGGTGTTTGGAGTGGTCTAGTGATGGAAACATTATGCCTCCATTCATCTTCCCACAGGGGCCTCAGACTCAACATGGAGGCCTACATCAAGTGCCTTGAGGAGGTTTGCTGCCCTGAGTCAAGAGGATACCTGCTGGAAGACACTATATTTGGCAACAGAACTCTGCACCATGCCACACGAGCAGGAGAACCCAGTCATGGCTGTCAGACAATTTCTGCAACCACATCACCCTTTACATCTGGCCACCTAACTCCCCAGACTGCAACCCCCCTTGATTATTATGTGTGGGGTGCAGTTGAGTGAGAGACCAACAAAACTCCTTGTAATACCAAAGATGAACTGAAGGTAAGGATTATGGCAATATTCCCCAACTTAAACAAAGAGACCATCCAGTAGAGTTTCAGGAGATTCTGAAGTCGTCTGGGGACTGTGGTTGAAGCCAATGGAGATTTTATTGAATAAATTTACTCTTTGGTATTTTAAGATATATTTGCATAATTTTTGTAAATATATCTGTTAAAATGAGATGTCAGTTTTATTTTTGCATAATTTAGACAACAATTTATCCATCGCACCCTGTATATAGAAATAAATTTGAAAAGAAATCTGTAAAAATGACAAAATTATAAAATAGTTAAACCAACTACAATGCAATATTTATTATTTACCATTTTATAAATAACTATGAAAGCAAATTTTTTATTCAATTTAATAAATAAATAGTATTTAATATCTTTATTATCATTCTCAAGAATAAAGAAAATGCATAAATTCATTTTCATATCTTTGGGTTTTATTGAAATTTTAATAATCACATTGTCAAGAAATCTAATAAATAGTGTTTAATATCTTTATTGTCAATTCTCAAGAATAAAGAAAATGTATAAATCCACTTTCATACTTTATTAAAATTCTAATCATCACTTTTTAAAACAATAAACATTGACAAGGGAGTCAAAAGTGTATACAGTAATAGTGGTGCCAAGGGAATAACTCCTTCTGACACACTGTTTTTTTTGTTGGCACAAAATTCAAACATTGCCAAATTCTATGATTTAAAAACCTTTAAGCTTCCTAACTGAAGTAAAAAAAAAAGTGAAATCATGTTTTCATCATGCATATTAAAAGTTTCAAGTTTATAGCATTTATTATTTGAACCTTGCAATATTATCAACAATAATTGTTGATATCAAATATATTTTCCTCAAAATAATGATTGTTCAAGAAACAAGATGTCGGTTAGATTTGTTTGTTTATTTTGTTTTTTGGTATAAGAAATTATGCTAGCTAGAAAATAAAAATCTATATTTGCTTCCTGTTAAGACTGAAGTATATGCAGTCACAGAATAGGTCTAAAAATATTGGCTTCCAGAATACAAAGTGGGCCCACCCACAACTCAAATGTTATCATTTAATTTTCATAATGAATAAATAAAATTTTAAAAAAATATATATGGAAAAAAGGATACAATTAAAATTTTTGTGGAAAAAAATGTGAATTTCTTAATAAGTTACAATGTATTGTACATAATACTGACAATAGATTCCAAATGTAAATACAGAATTTAATTATTTATTTATTTATTTTTAAATTTAAAGTAATTGGTTGATATTTTTAAATAGTTTACTGCACAATTTACACACTGAGAGATAGTTCAAAAGCATAATAGAGCATTGTATGCAGTCCACTATATTAAGAGAAATTGTGTTCACTAAAGGTGATTGTTCAAATCTGCCAATATAATTGCTTCTGCATTGAATTCATCTAACAATACAATTCCTTTTCAATGAATAGCAACATGTATTATTCTAAATTCTCCTTAAATTTCTTCATAACCTTGTCTTTGATCTTTAGCTTTAAAAATATCCTCTCACATTGGACTTGAGTAACTGATAATGTACAGTACAGATGACTTTATAAAATTCTTATTCCTTTTTTTATTACTAAAAGTAAAAAGGTTGTCTGTGTTTCTTTATTGCATTTTTATTTGATATAGGAACCCCATTCTATCAAGGGCCCACTTGCCAGAGAGCAAACTGACATCCTGGACAATCTATCACTGAATATTTTGATTCAGAAAAAGATGAAAAGACCGACATTTAAAAAAAATATTTTTAGGTATAAACAAAAAAATTTACTTTTAAATCTTTTGATAGTACAATTTGTAAATAATGATTATTTTGCACAGTGTTGATAGCTGGATGAAAATGGCATAGGAGAAAGAACTCTACCAGCTGAAGTATTGGAAACTAAATTTTTTATTAAATTAATTCTGAGAATTACAAAAACAACTCAGATTTTAATTACAAAATATCTTCTAACAATTCTGAGAAATATAATTTAAGCAGAAATCCATTTTGTGAATCCGTTCTGTGTAAAAACATCCAATTCTTTGTACTTATTAATTTTGTCGAATATAGCACAAAAAAAGGAAATAAAAACTTGCTCCCCAAAAAATGGAGAAGGTAAAAATAAGAAAAATGGTGAAGTGTTCGTTTGTGTTCCTCATGATAAAAAATAAATTTCCAGTGACAGAATGTTAAAATTTCAAGAAATGTTTAATTTTAAACATTTCTCGAATTTATTAGTTTTCCATTTCAATCTCATCAAACCGACCTATTATGCCCCACAATTTTTTTTTTTCAGATGCAGTTTGTTTGAAATAAATAATAGATTTGTTTAACTTACTTCAATTCTTCTAAGCCAATACATATTCAAATATGGTAAGAAATGGTAAGAATGGGCAAAATAACAAAAAATAAACAGAATGCAGAATAACACCACCCCTGCTTGAAAAAAAATGCATTCAGAATTCATCATTAATGGGAGTATGTGAATATTTATTCAAAAAAAGAATTTCAAGACGTGTCTGCTGCCATAATGAAATTATATAGCCGTTTTAAAATAAAGATAATAAAAAATATTGACTACTAATCCAATTTTTTAATCTTTCATTTTATATCCGCACGTAGTGGGGGTGTTGCTTTGCATTTTTACTTTTTATTATAATCTTTTTTGCGATGCTATTTTTGAACGGCACCAATATTCAGACAACTTAAAACGATTACTTGGTTACTTATTTTTTAGTGTATCATTTTTTTTACTTACTGCCATATGACACAAACAACAATCGGTGTATTATTCAAGCAAATTAGCCATAAACAATCAGCAGTGCTTTTTCGTAGCCACCTGTCACTTTATTATTGCCAACTAAGAACTTTTTTAATATTTAAATTATATAAGTAGCGAAGTAATCGTTCTAAGTAATGAGGTCAATCGAAATAAGTGCTGCGTAATTTGTTACGGTTTTTTTTTTTTTTTTGACTAATCAAACAAAAAAAAGACACATAAAATCGCATATACAAGATAAAAAACATTCAAAGGTTTTAAAAAAGGATACGATATCCGATTGTAGGTTAAATCAAGTTCGTCCAACCAATCTCCATACTTGAGCATAAATTCCATAGGTAATTCGGAAAGATCCTGATATGCCAAAGAAACTCTGGTATGTGTGTGGGACATTTTGAAAATTAGACAACTTCAAAAAGCCAGGACCAACTTGTAATTTTTTCCCGCTTTTAACAAACAAATAAATTCAAATTTCTTTAGAATTTGTCTTTTTTTTTTTTAACTGCCCTTTGTTTAAAAAATAATTTGGTTTCAGAATTTATTACTGGTATTTTAAATGAAAGAACCAAGTAAAGAAAAGGAAGAAGAAATGTAAAAAACACTTCTGTGTTTTTTTATGTTTTTTTCTTTTTTCAATTCTTCTATAAGGAAAAATTTTCTAACAATACGTTTGTAAATTCCAATGTTGTTGATTCAATTTTCTCATCCGTTTTCAAAAGAAAAATGAGTTGAAACAAAACATTCTGTTTTTACAATTATTATCATTAATTGACAGCGGGATATATATTTTTAATTTCTTTTTTTTTTACTCAACACTGTCCGGAAAAAATAAATGAAGACACGAAAATAAGCACTTGAACGGTTCAGATTCAACTTTTTCAAACTTTTTTTTTTCCTTTTTTTTTCATTCAAAAACTTTCCTTGCCAAACTAAAAAAAAAAAGTAGATAGTTGGAATGGGGAATAAATATCCCAATAAAAATTAAGTTGGTAAATACATATTTTTTAGGTAATTACATCAGAACGACATTTTTTTAAAAAAATATATAAGTGAAAAAAAAATCAAGATTTAAAAAAAATGTTTTTTTGAAGACAAAATTTGTTTCGTTACGTTTTTTACAGTCAACAATGCACGCCAGGACTGTGCAAATCGAGTTAGAAGTTCTCTAAATAATTATGTTGTAAACAGAATAAATGACGATATAAATCGCTCAAGTGAAAGAATGTTTTTCCAGTCATATTAATAAACAAAATACTTTACTACAACTAATAATAGTAGTAGTAGTAATAGTAGTAGTAAAAGACAAAAAAAAAGTAAAAGGAAAATCGTTACTCTCTAATAGACAAGAAAGAAGAGAAAGAAAAACAACAAAAAAAAGAAATCTGAGTTGGTTGGTAATGTCCCAAAAACCATCATGTGACATCAATTCACTTCAGTATTCACTGTATTCATACTTTTTTTTTCTATCTGTAGCCTTAGTCAGTCGACGAGAGCAGCAGGTGACTGTTAATGCCTTGACCTCCCGAGGTCACCATCACATGATAAACTCACCTGAAAGATCGCTCCCGGCCTCATCAAAGTTGGACACACGAACTGAATGGCTGGGGTGGCACAAAATACAAGACTGGGCGGAGAAAGGGGAAAAAATGAGTAGGAGAGAAGCAGGGTGTTAATAATTATATAGTTTCATGTAATAATTTAATACTTTTACTCACCCCACCCTTCGAACCATCCTCTATCGTTGTATTCCTCTTCTCTTCCATGATGATGTTATTATTACTGCTCATGTTTTATCTTATTATCTGTTTATTGTTGTTGGTCTTTATTTATTATTTGCCACATTTATGTTCCCCTCTTCCTTCTTTATCTATCTATCTATCTATCTATCTATCTATCTATCTATCTATCTATCTATCTATCTCTATCATAGTTATTCATATCTATCTATCTATCTATCTATCTATCTATCTATCTATCTATCTATATGTTCACATCTATGTATTTATCATAACTGTTCATATCTATCTATCTATCTATCTATCTATCTATCTATCTATCTATCTCTATCATAGTTATTCATATCTATCTATCTATCTATCTATCTATCATATCTGTCTATCATATCTATCAGCTGTCTCATATCATATTTATTCATCTATCTATCTATCTATCTCTATCATCTCATTCATAGTTATTCATATCTATCTATCTATCTATCTATCTATCATATCTGTTCATATCTATCAGCTGTTCATATCTATCTATCTATCTATCTATCTATCTATATGTTCACATCTATGTATTTATCATAACTGTTCATATCTATCTATCTATCTATCTATCTATCTATCTATCTCTATCATAGTTATTCATATCTATCTATCTATCTATCTATCTATCTATCTATCTATCTATCTATCATATCTGTTCATATCTATCAGCTGTTCATATCTATCTATCTATCTATCTATCTATCTATCTATCTATCATAGATGTTCACATCTATGTATTTATCTATCATAACTGTTCATATCTAGCTAGCTAGCTAGCTGTTCATATCTATCACAGCTGTTCATATCTATCTATTTATCTATCTATTATAGCTGTTTCTATCTATCGATCTCTCAATCATAGCAGTTCATATCTATCTATTGATCTTCATATCTTTCTACCATAGCTGTTCATATCTATCTATCTATCTATCTATCTATCTATCTATCTATCTATCTATCTATCTATCTATCTCTTTTATGCTATAATATATTTTTTAATTACTTTCCTCAAGGGAATTCAGTGAAAATTCCAGAAAGGCACATCTAAATTCCCATTGTTTCTTTTCCTTATTGATTGATACTTTGTATAAAAAATTATAAACATAACAGCAAATCTTGCATCATCAACCTTTAGATAAAAAATATCCCTATTTTCAAAATGAACAATTTTCACTCAAATATGAAATATTATTCACTCAAATATGAAATATTAACATAACCAGTGATAGGCTAATCTCCTGATTAAGATAATTTCATATTGCCAATTGAGATTTATTTAAATTTGAATTATATTCAAGTCTGGGTAAAAACCATGCTTTTGAAGGCTAATTTTTAAAGTCAAACAATCCCTCCCCACTTGGTAAGTTGGTGCTACACAATCTTTCTATTCCTATTTCCTCAACACTTAACTTTGTAACATACTTAGTAAATAGCAATATTCCCATGGATATATAATTCCTACACCACTACCACTGCCGCCACCACTACTACCACCACCATCATCATTTATGAAGTATCTTCCAGCCTATTCAGTGACATTGTCAGCCCACTTTTCCACTGTCTGTCTCTTGTTCTTTTTGCTCAAGGTGGTACCTTGTAGGATGGTAGTGAAAAGATTGTTGTCTCTCATGACATGTCCATACTCTTTTAATTTTCTCTTGCTGATGGTGGTTACAAAGTTTTCCAACAGGCCTGTTTCTTGTCTTATGGTATCTCGCAGTGTGATGATGTCTATAGACGCCTGGCATGGTGCTGTAGCATCTTACTTCTAATGCTTGCATTCTTTGCTGTAATTTTGCTATTAAAGTGCAAGATTTGCAGGCATACAGAAAGATTGAGAAGGCCAATGCATGCAACATTGCAATTTTTGTTTCAAGACATATTTTAATTAAAAACACTTTATAGTATGAGGTATGAGTATTTATTTGAATATGATTTTTAATGTTTACTTATTTTTAAGAAGAACAAATAGAAACACATATAAATAAATATATAGTTTTATTATTGTTGATACCAACTGACGAGTGGACGGAGTGATTTCTGGGGGGGGTCCTTCTACGAAACTCTGGAGTTGGGATACTGAAGGTAACATCAATCAGCTAAGTGACAAATTTTATAGCATGAGGTAATTTTATTTGGATATGAATTTTAACATTTATGTAACACTAGTGAATATTGCTTTCCTCTAGGACGAAAACATATTCGGACATGTCTCACATGTAAAATATTCCCTAAAAGAGTCGGATAGACTTTTGCAAGAATCTCTTTGATGCAAATCTGAACTATCACAATCTATAAAAAGTGTGTAAAGAGCCAACAGACAGAAGTGCAACTACATTAGCGAACAGGAGACATGTTGTTGGATTGTTTGACTTTAGCTACTCTGAAGGTTGAAGGAAATGGATTAGAGAAATTTATTACAAGCCAGAAGAAACTGGCTACAGTTTATATTTTATTTGAAAGAACAAAAAATAAGGACATGATAAATGAACATATAATTTTATTATTGCTGATACCCACTGACAATTGAATGGAGTTATTTCTGGAGGGTCCTTCTATAAAACTCTAGAGTCGAGATGCTGAAGGTAACATCAATCAGGAAAGTGATAAATTTTATATTTGTATTAATTATATATATATATATATATATATATATATATATATATATATATATATATATATTTTGAAAAAAGGATATCAGCTGGTCAACTACCTTGGTTTCAACATTTCAGTATCATCAGGTGCTAAGGGCTAAATAATTTCCTAACGTTTTAAGAATTGACTTCAACCATCCGGAAATAAAATTGACAAACCAAAAGCATTTCAATCAAAGAAGAGTAGCTGAACAAATGGTAATAGGAAATACAAAAAAATGCCTGCAATAGGATAGATGCAGCACAACTTCATCCTGTTTGGATCTCTCTGCTCCAAAGAAAAATATGATATGAAAAAAAATGGCAATAAAAACAATGGAGTAAAAACAAAATTCCTTCTTTTTTTTTTTACGCCACAACTTGCTCTTATGTTGTAAATGTCATCAACTCTGTTTCCTTGATTTGAATTTTTAAATGTTTCTAGTTTCTTTGCACTGTTTTTTTTTTACTCAAATTAAGGAGTGACTAAGACTGGCAACTGCTAGTTGAAATATTTCCATAAAATAAATCATTTGTTGGAACTACAAATTTTTTCTTTTAATTATGCAACTACCAATAGAGACATGCATCCTAACTTTCCTAACATTTTATTATTTAAAAATAAATAAACAAAAAATTCCTTTTGAGTTCATTTGAAGCAGGATGAAAATGTACATTTTATACAACCCATAACAATACAATCTCAAAACCCTTGTTTTTCTCCTCCCCTTCTATTACACTTCTTGTTGTGCATTTATTTATTTATTTTTAAATGGGTTAGAAAATTATTTAGCCCTGAGCACCTGAAGATACTAAAAGGGTGAAACCAAGGTAACATGATCAGCTGATCTCTTAATTTTTTCAAATTTAAAAGCTAAATTAAATGTTAAATTTTCATTTTTCTTTTCCTTTCCTTATACATGTATTGAACACTTTTCAATATTACTGTCTCCTGGTCTAATTCAACTCTGACTAATAATATATATATATATATATATATATATATATATATATATATATATATATTAAAAAAATCAGTGTCACAACAGAATGCAGATTACAGTTACAATAAGTTTGTCTTTGTAATTTACCCTGAAGATGATCTTAGAAAAGGTCAAAAGTATTTGGGTTAAAACAAACTTTTCAATATTACTGTCTCCTGGTCTAATTCACATCTGACCAATAACGTTTTTATAATTATATATATATATATATATATATATATATATATATATATATATATATATATATTAAAGATCACTGTCACAACAGAATGCAGATTACAGTTACAATAAGTTTGTCTTTGTAATTTACCCCTGAAGATGATCTTAGAAATGGTCAAAAGTACTTGGGTTAAAAAACAACTATGGTGCCTTCCTTGATGAATTTAATCTTGCCATCAACTGATTAGACAACTGGAAAGGATCAGTATTAAAATAAGTAGACGCAATATGTCTATATTATTCAATGAAACATGTTTGAATGAAGATATGCTACCTATATATATATATATATATATTCGTCCCTCCAAAAAGTGTGGCTGGTCCTGCACGAGGCCTTCACCACTATAATCAAATCTCATGTGCCGGTGTCGGGATGTCAGTTTCCTGGGGACTTATCGGCCTGACCCTCATACGTCGAACGTGACGGGAGAGTCGATTATATATATATATATATATATATATATATATATATATAAGTGGACACTGAGGTCAACACCAAGTTTGAATACAATGTTCATGCCATCAATTGCATGAAGATTGCATTCCAGTTCACTTATCCCATTTTTACCTCTGCTTCTTCTTTTACTTTAGACGGTACCTTGTAGGATGGCAGTGGAAAGATTGTTATTTTTTATGACATCTCCATACCATTTTACCTTGCTTCATGACAGTGGTTTTCAGGTCTTCCAATCAGTCTATTTCTTATTTGATGGTATCTTGCACTGTGTCATTTTGAAATGATTGGTTTCTTCATTGTAATTCTGCTGTTAATGTTTCAGATCCACAGACATAAAGAAAGATTGAGAAGGCCAATGCATGTAAAAGTCTGATCTTTGATTTAAGGCAGACATTCTTGTCTTTCCAGATGGTTTTGCAACAGCTGTCATTGTTTGTGCTGTTCTTGAAATTATTTTTATTCTGGAGCCATCTTTGTTGATAATCAAGCCAAGAAATTTGCATTGGTTCACTAGTTTAAGTTAACAAAATCTTATCAATTCTAATCTCTAAAACACATTTGATTAATTTTTAGCTAATCAATTTTTAATTTAATCCAGCCAATTTTTTTTCATCTGTATGAATATTCAGACTCGTATATAACTCTTAATACAAAGCTGGAACTATGCATCATATGTTAATCTTTATATATTTTAATGCTTTTAAAAAGCTTCATTGTTACTTCTTCTTTGTCACTCTCTCATTTGTAATTTCTTCTTGAGTTTCCAAAAGGCATTAAATTCTATTGTATTATTATTACTTTACAATCCATCAATTTACTGTTAAAAGGAGTAGAAATTTATTTAGAAATTTGAATTATCATAATTCACTATATGCTATCAGTGTTTTCACAATGAAACTTGTGTTAAACAACCAATGCTGTTAAAAAATTTTTAGTATATAAGTTGAAACAAAATGGCTATCTTTGTAGTGGTTTTATAACATACTTATGTTATAATTTTCAAATAAATAATTATATATATATATATATATATATATATAGTCATCCACGGACAGACTGTTTCACTGTATCACAGCTCATCAGTATGGCTAGACATCTGATTGCTTCAAGCTGAGATTGAAACCCAACTGATTTGGCGTCAGTCAGAGATTCTACTCCCAAGTTATCATCGCATGGCAGAACGAAAGGGAAATTTTAACGTTTTTACTATGCGAAACACATCAGTAGCTAGGAGAGCTCAATACAAGTAGAAGAACATCGCATTAGCACCAGCAGCCACTATTTATAAAATCACCCCTTCCTCTCTGAGAGCTCAGTAGAATTATTTCAAGAGCATAAATAGTCATCCACAACAGGCTGTTTCACTTTATCACAGCTTATCAGTGCAACTAGACATCTGATTGCTTCAAGTCAGGATCAATATATATATATATATATATATATATATATATATATATATAAATAGATAGATAGATAGATAGATAGATAGATAGATAGATAGATAGATAGGATTAATACAAATAAAATTTGTCACTTTGCTGACTGATGTTATATTTAGCACCTCAACTCCAGAGTTTTTATTGATGTACCTTTTTGTAATTGTTTAGTCCACTCTTCAGCAGATCTTCAGCAATTGACTGCAGTTTTTATAATTTTTCATTATTTTTATACTAA